AAATGGTTGTGAAAAAGAAATTTCATTTGGTATTTGCGGATACGACATATAAAGCGTGGGAATGCAAAAGCAAGAGGACAAGAAAAACATAGGACCAGTTGAAGATGCCTTGTGCCCGTAAATTGTATTTGGACTGTAGGTTCATTAACGATTAGCTTATTGTATGAATTGTTTTGACCAACGTATTATTATTTACAAATTATGTCGTCATCACTAGATATAGCAAGATTGATCAGTAGAGTGTATTGGCTTTTCTTGTTTTGGCTGATTGATTGTGAAAATTGTGAGGTTAGCGATCAAATGATTATGTTAGCTGTTTGATCAGCATACTGCGTTAGGTATTTTGATCGTCTTATTAAATTGATATTGTAAAAATTGTGCGCTCGCTGTTTGATCAGCAGATTGTGTTGGCTGATCCGAATTGATTACATTAATTAATGTTTGTAAAAAAATGTGTTTTCTTTAATGATTGTGTTAGGTGTTTGATAAGCAGATTGTGTTGGTTGTTTTGACAAGTTGATTACATTAGAGTTTGTAAAAAATGTGTTGGATAAAATTGAATGTTTGCTATTAGTTCCTATCATAAAAATTATATAATTAATATTTAGACACTATCATATCTATACTTATATAATAAGAATTAACCTTTTTTCAAAATTAGTAGGTCAATTCTTAGTCAACATCCTGTCTGCATTAAATGTTTACTAAAATTAGTAACTTTTATGTCCTTTTCACACTTTTTTTTATGTCCTTTTCACACTAGATTATATAAATGAACGGATATTATCTCACATTTCATTAATCTCACCTATAATTCATGTGAATTGATTGATTGCCTTTAACTTTTCAAAACGTGTGCTATCCATTGTTTATTACTATAATTATTATAGTATGCACGTAATCAGTTGATTAAATAAATTATATATTATTATTATTATATTCACCACGTGACAGTTAATTAAAATATATCTATACTTATATTAAAAGGTATACTATTTACCAGATTTAATATAAAGAAAAGTCAACAACATTTATTGCATTACTATTTCCGTATTATACAATCTATACTTATATAAAAAGAGATTCTATTTACTATATTTACTATCCAGAAAAGTCAACTGCATTAAATGTCATTACTATTTTGGTATTATAATATTTTATTTATTTAATTGTTTTATTTATTTGTTTTATTTTAAAAAGGTAAGTATAATAAAAAGATTTTAATAATAAAAAAATCAAATACCAAATAAAAATGTACACTTTGACTTATTTGATTATATTTGGTATTTGATTATACCAAATATATTCCTATTTAGTATATACATTAAATACTTACTAAAGTATTTGTTTGTTTTATTTGTCAAAGTTAAGTATAGATTTGTTTATATTATCAAATCATAAAAAAATATTAAATCCATATTGTAAAAAAAAAAAAAATATAATTTTATAACAATTCTACTACACTATTTAACAATATTTTTTTTATTATATAATAAAATAATAATTAAATATTATATGGTGAACAACAATAAGTAAAACTGTTACTTTCTCTTATATCAAGGGATAAATTTATATGCTAAAATTAAATTTTTATTAGTATAAATGTTTTAGTGAGATAATATATTAATTATTTTACAAGCTAGCCCTAACATGCTCATATTTAATGTTTTAAAAGATGTAGAAAAAAAACTTATAATAACTCTATTGTTTTTTAGACTTAAACGTTGATTAAAAGAGGTAAAAATTCCTAATTTTTTAGACTTAAACGTTGATTAACACCATAGATTGAGAGTTTATATTTAGTAAAATTCCTAATTGTAATAAAAAAATTAATTTTTGCTATATTTTAGAATATCTTTAAATTCATTATAAAAAAAAAAAAAAAAAAAAAAAACTACAATGAAAAAAGCAAGTCAGCTATATATCGATTTGTTGTACTCCTCAAATCACATTCACAATTTGGCTACAAGGAAAGGAAACTCATTGATTAAAATATTATTTTGTCAGTAGTCTTAATGTACAAGAGACTTTAAGACTCCACTTGAATATTATACAACTTTTATTGAACATTGTATAATTTTCTTACGTATTATAAACTTTTATTGAATATTGCATCTTATAATATAATATTCTCTAAATAAATATATCTCGTGCTTTGCACGGATCACGTACTATATATATTCCGTACATCTTTCTTTATTCATGTATATAATTATAAGTCTGAATAAATAACCTTAAAAATGTACATCCCGTGCATCGCACGGGCTCTGTACTAGTATTTCTTTATGTGGATAATTAATACATCATTGTAAAATTACAATTTGCTCACATTTTAAAAATAAAAAATGTGATTCACAATAAAATAATGGCAAAAATAAAAACATATAAAATCGTAGATTATATGAAAAGGAGCCAGAAAATGAACTAATATACAATATTTCAATGAATACTGACATACGCCATGCACTTATTTTGTTGTTTGAAAAAAGATAAAATAAAAATAAATAATTGCGGATACAAAATCAATGAAAATAGGCTTTAAACATTCCAACTCATTAAAAAAAACAATAATTTTAAAATAATTAATTATTAACTACCCATTTACATATAACTAAATAAATATATTTGAAATAACTAATGTCAAATGCTGCTTGGAGCAAAGTATCCAAATTTTGTATTTAAGATTAAGCCATCGTTAACACCATCTGATTTACCAAACAACTTCTTAAGCTGGCTAAACTATCAAAACAACTATAAACTTTGCCAAAAACGCCAAAAAAATAGCGGAAACGCCAAGCACAACCAAATTTGTAAGTTGGAACTTTTTTTTTTTAATCAAATTAAATTTTCTTGATAAAAACTAGGGTTGAAGCATTGTTTGAAACAAATAGAATTTGCTAATCGTCCCACTTTTATAAATTGATTCGGGATTAATTACAAATCGATTCCAAATAAAAGTCGTGCAAAATATTTTCATTAATAATCATTAAACATACGTTCACCATGCTCAAAATAACTCACCAACAACGTACTTTTTAAAGTCGTGCAAAATATATAAAACTAATTAAAACCAGAGATCACTTTAAAAAACGCGGTTATGAAAATTGAAAATCCGTAAGAAGCACCATGAGTTGCGTCATCAGGTTATTATGAACTCGTGCTGATATACGGACTTTGAAATACAAAAAAACCGCTTTTAATTTGGTCAATATCCTATTTGTTTTTTTATATTTTCTATTTTAAATAATGAGTTTCAAACTTTAGAGTTGATCAGGGTTCAGGGATTTGGATTGTCATTTGTCAAATTGTAATGTACATAAATCATACCAAATCAGAACGGAATAATATCTTTTGTGTGTGGACCAATGTCTAAAAGATTTTTATAGCACATACCTCGAGCTTTTTTAGTCACAAACTCACAATTATAACTTATATTCAAAAATTCAACAATTCTTTAGGATAAAGATGTTACTATTAGTTTTATAAATAAGCTGTTTAATTAGCAACTGTAAATTAAAATTTGTTTTAGATATATGCTAAGAGATGAAAAAAAAAAAATCGAAATATTTGTTTTAGATAATAAAACTATCAGACATAAATTGACCGCTCACTGAAACACAGGGAAAAAGAAGAAAGAAATGCGTTTAGTGCTATGGAGGAAGTTGTCAGGTTGGTATGGAAATTAGAAGGTCAATATAGGCCATGCATAAAAAGGAACATAGCCACTCATAAAATTGTGACTAAAGTGAATAAAAAGCAACCATATGGTACATAACTTTGCAATTAAATTATTAGAAACACAATGAATGGATTTGAACCTTTTGCGTGATTGCAGGCGTGATTATATATGGATATGCACTAGTTTTTCTTTATTATTCAATTTTAATATTTGACGGTTAATAAATTGTTTTAATTGAAGATTTCAAGAGCTAAATTACAAGTTAAAAGGGAGAGATTAATTAATCAGAAAACTCATTGTTAGTTGTGACAGTTAAAAAAAAAAATTAAATAATCGAAAGTAAAAATTCGTCAAATAAACAAGCAATTATCTCTTTTTTTTAGAAGAAGAATAAGTCATGCAGGTCACTTTTCCACTCACTTTGCTTTGCTTTATTCATTTCGCCCCATTTACTTTGTACTATCTTTTACATCCGACTACATTAAATTTACTAATATCTTACTTCATGCCGACGTATAAAATATTGTTTGTATTAAAAAATAATTTTAGAAACAAAAATAAATTCAAAAAAAAAAAAAAAATTCTTTGTTTTGGGCTGTATTGATTGTGGAACATGGTTAGACTAAAAAATTCTTACGCAATCCTCAACACATACTTCTACTCTATTAATTTACTTTATTTTAGAGTAGAATAAATCAAATGTCAGATTCTTCTTCAGTCGTTAGTGTTATATTTTATTCTAAATAAAATTTATATTTTATTCTTATTATTTTAAATTAATTCCATTACCTAAAATATAATTTAATTAGGTATAATATATATTTAGTTATATAAATTTTTAGTATATGATTAATAAAACTACGCAATTACTTGTATGTGATAATTAAGCTTATATTTTTTATGTTATAGTATGAGGTTGTTTTGTAGTTTATATTTTAATTTAATGAAACATACTATTTTTTATAATATTATAATTTAATTATAACAATTTAAAACATTTTGTCAAATATTGTATTAAACTACATAAGAACATGTTATGCACGGTACAGTTTGTATTTTTATTCTAGTGATGCCTTGGAGAAGAATAAAACGCTATTCTAACTTAAAATATCTAAAATAACATTGGAGATGGACTTACATATATAAGAAAGATAATTAAACTTGATAAACTCAAAATCACATTATTTAACCGACTATTTATCATAAACTAAAATATCATAAACAAGACTACGTCATAAGAAGTAAAAATGTATATTTTTGCGATAACATATTATACTTTTTATTTGTATTATTTTTTAGAATAACATTTC